ATTATTTTGAGAACAATTTTGTCATGTCACCTAATCATCTCAAATTCTACCAATTCTCTCTCCCCTCCCTCGCTTTCCAAATATTTCATATCTACTTTTACAAATGGTACTTATTCTTAAATAATTTTCTCTCTAAAAAACTTCATTAAATAATTTTAATGCTTTCATTATTTTCTCATTTACTTTTGGACTGTTTTTTCTCCACTCATCCATATTCCTTACTCAAATTATCATTTAATTTATTTAGGTTTGTTTTGAATTTGTAAAGGTCGAGAGATATTTAAAAAAGATAGAAAGAAAATTAGAGGGGTGAGGATCGAGATAGAAACTTGTAAAGATTGAGAGATTGTATTTTGTAAGATAGATAAAATTAAAAGAATCGAGAGAAATTTATATTTAAATGACAAATGCCCTTATTAAGGGTAATAACATGACAATTAATTTCACATGCATCGTATATATTAGCTCACTAGTATTTAAAAAATGTCATTGTTGAATTTTAGTGATGTAAAATGTCATTGTTGAATTTTAGTGATGTTATTAAGTAGAAATTTGTGGATTCTCTTTTATAATATAATGAGGACGAAGTTTAATATTTTAAACATTAGAGGTTGAGGGAGAACTACCTCCCTGAAGACGATGAAATGATTTCCATATAAGTCATGTTTTGATCCACCATAGAAATGTTGGGGAAATTGAACGAATGCAACTTCTTGATCACTTTTCGGGTCAATGAGTGTACAAATTGCCTGAAGAATTGCATTGGAGTCGTTCACAAACACATCACAATCTAGGTTCAATATGTATGGAGCATTTGTCATTAATCCAGAGACTCTAGTCTGCATATTATTGAACATGAATCATCAAATAAGTATCAACTGAGAACACGGGAGACGATATATAACAAATTATATTCTTTGTAGTTTAAAAAAATGCAGCAGTAATTTACGAACCATATCCTTCATCCTTTCATTAAATAGTTCTATCTTTTAATGGCAAAGTTTAATTAAAAAAAAAGTATGGTTTATATAGATTTTGGGAGGTACCATGTTTGGATCATATATATGAATATAATTCATTTATAAATTACAAAAACTTAATCTACGGGATTATAGATGGAGGGGTGGAGTCAGACATTTTCTTTAGAGAAGAAAAAAACTTACTTGTCAACTTTTTTTTATATATAAAATATTGAAATTCTAAAAGTTTAGGAACAGATAAGAGAAAAATTATAAAATCTTTTAAGTATAAAAATTACCAAAACGTTCATGGCACCAGCCTTGAAATGGTGTGAATATTTAGGTCTCTTCTCTCTTGATACGTAAACTAAGTGTGGAACTCCATCCTCGTGGCCTTCTTTGTTCTCCCATAGTATCTAGGAAATAAGAATAAGAATATTGTTTAAGAGATATTATTGGAAAAGAGAAACACCAGGAAAAAAAAATTATAATAAGAAGAAAAAAAATCAATATAAGCTAAGACTTACTTTATGCAGGTCAAAATAA